TTGTGTGGATGAGAAATGTGGGTAGGTTTTGATTTGTAGTGTTATATATCAATACTATCTATATTGTTAAATTTATGGTTAAGCCAGGCTGGATAATTTGTTTTTAGACGATGTATCCACTTATATTCATGGAACTCTAAAATCTTTCTCATGTTATCTGCTCTGAACTTTTCTATTCTCTCAATTATAGTGAATTTGCCTTGGGTTTTAAAATCGTGTTTTTCTAGGCGGAAATGTTGTTCTACAGGTCATAATATTTCATGGAGAGTCGACTTAATTCAATTGAGATAATTATTAATTCTGTAGTGAAAGGGCCATTCAGATTTTCCTACATATTGTTTCTGACATAGTGTACAATCTAGGAGGTAAATTATGTTATGACTTCTACAGTTAGAAGCGTGGTAGATTTTGAAAGTATATTTAGTGACTGAGCTAGTGAATGAATTTATGTGTTTAATGTGGTTGCAGCATAAGCTTCTTTTGTTGTTACAATATGGTTGGGAAAATCCTGTTGTTTTTGTTGTTGGTTTATTACGGATTACCTTGTCTCCTGAAATGTGGTTACTACCTATGATTTCTTTTAGGTTCTTAGGTCTACGAAATGCAAGAAGGCCGGATTCCTCAAACAATTTTTTACGTCTGGTTTGAGATATAGTATTTCCCAACGACTTTTGATTATCTGAGATAATGGAGGCTGAGTGGGGTTGAAAGTGGTTACTAGTGGGATGCGTCTGGGTTTATTTTTAATGTTGTACATTAGAGTGTCTTCTTTAGGTGTGGAAATTGCTTTATTTACTAGTTCCCTGATTAGGTGTTGTTTATAGCCCCGTATATATATATATATATATATATATAAGGCTTGGGACAATGAAAATTATATTAAATTTCTGCACTTCCTTACTCCTGCAAAACGGAAATACGTAAGGATGCTGGAAAAAACTAAATAAAATTAATTAAATCTTCCTTGTCTGCCATATTTAAAGAAAGATCTTAATGAAAGATGTTTAAAAGAAACGTTACTACCCAAATATACATTAATATATATATATATGTGTGTGTGTGTGTGTGTAAGTTTTTATTGTGTTTTATGTACGAACAAAGGATTTGAGGAGTGGCGCAATATTTACAGATGTTTAAATATCTGGCTATTGTTTTAACAGAGGAGGGAGAGGGAAACTGTGACACCGAAATCCGAATACAGGTCGGAATGACAAGCATCCCCCAAAAACTAAGCAGAACTCCAAGAAGCAGGAAAATTTCGTTGGAGACAAAGAAAATAATGTAGAACTGTTATATAATATCAATCCGAACATATGGCCGTGAATGCGGGACAGTCTCCTTGCAGGCGAATAGCAGAATTGAGTTCACAGAAAAGTGTTCCTATAGAAGCACACATACTGACAGTACAGTCGACAGAACATTTGAGCTGGGAAGAAAATTTCAGCAAAAGTGAAGCCAAAGAGGACATTTTACTCAGAATCAGACAGGAAAATCTGAAATTTCTTCGACAAATAATGAGGTAGGAAAGCTTGGAGAATTTGATACTCACATGACACGAGGTCAACAGGGACAGAGGGAGGCAGTTGGCAAACTTGTGTGAATTAATGGTCGAACCGAAGGTTGCGGGGATTTCAAAAAAGAGAAACCATACTAAAAGTTAGAAGGGATAGGAAATTATGGAGGACCATGATCGCCAACGGCACGTACACTACAGTTCAAACGTTTGAGGTTACCCTGTTAATTTTTTAAGTTAATTCCCAAAGTAGTTGTTTTGTACTTTAAATAAGACAAAATTACTTAAAACGCGGGAAAATGATTTTTACGAGAAATTTTATTATGACAAAAAGAAAAAAGCATTTTATGAATCAATTTCGCTCTCGTCAAAATATTCCCCTTTAGCCTTGATTACTGCTGCACAAACTTTTGGCATTCGTTGCAAAAATTTCTCAAAGTATAAGTTTTATAATTGGTTCCATTCTTTTTTAAATGACTTTTTTCACTCTTCTGTCAAGTTCATACCTTGCTAATTTTGAAAGTGCATCATCCCAAGACTGATGTATGTGCCCAGACCCGAAGGAGGCGGAGGATTAGTTCAACTAGAATTCTCTTACAAGCCTACAACAATCGGTTTTCAAAGATACCTGAAAAGTAAAGAAGACTGGCAGATGATCTGAGTCAAAGAACATGAAAGAAATAAGAAACTTTTTTCAATCATAAAGTAAGCCAACAAATTCAGACTGGAATTTCAAATAGAAAACAAATGCAAATAAACATAATACTCCTACTGCTGCGGCAAAGAGCTTAAAAACAAAATTCAACAGACAAAAATTCAATGGACGAGATCCAGAAACGATAGCTGTAAAATCTGCAACTTTTACGGGAAAAACTGCAACAAACTTGTATGAACACCAACCAGACCCGGTACCGAGATCGACCTGTAACAATTCTATGGAAATTTACAATACACACAGATAGAACAATCAAAACTAATTGCATAGACCTCGTGATCAGAGACCACAAACGGAATATGCCTTATGTATCTGGCAGTGTCTGCAGATTGTATCGTTTCTTAGATTAAAAAAAAAACAATAAAAAATACAATGATCTTGTAAATCTAAATATGTGGCACATGAGGACATCAATAATTCAAGTTGTAGTTGGAGTTCGCGTATTGACTGGAAAAGATTCCAATAGATTGATTGAAGCGATTGATTCCTTGTAGCCCAGAAATACTGTACTTACAAATACAGCTAACATCTTTTAATCTAGCCAAATATTCTTTAAAAAAAAACGAAGTATTCTTTGAAACATATTCTTTCAAAAAATTTTGAAACTACCAGCATCTCACGTTTCGTGTGCATGTGTGGACATGGCAACATTAACAAAGCCCAGCCCGATAAAATCGTAACGGATGAAACGCTTCACAAAATCTTTTTCCAAAAGACTGTTGATTCCTAAAATTATTGATAATATATATTATCGTTAAATTATATATCGTTATATATATATATATATATATATATATAATAGACTCTCCCGTCGGTTTCGATGTACGAGGTTCTGAAAACTTAATTGATTCAGTTTTGAAATTTTGTACAATAATCTTAAGTGACACTTAAGACCCGCTAGTGATTTACAAAGGAGACCGGAGCAAAAGTAAGGATTGTGGGATGAGATCACTGTTAAAAGATCTTTTTCTCTCGCTTTTTGAAGACGATTCAGACAAGCTGATTGGAAAAATGAGATCCGCAAAAAACAGGTTGATCTGATTGGTTAAGCTGAAGGTTTATGAGGTATATTGACAACTGACTTGTTCTTCAGCTTGTCTTTGTATTTTCCTACATTCCAAGTCCTACATTATAGTATATATATATATATATATATATATATATATATATATATATATATATATACTACAGTTCAAAAGTTTGAAGCGGTCCCCAGAATTACCATGAGATACATTTGACCGAAGAGTGAAAAAATGAGAAAGAGATATTCAAATTATTGAAAAGAAAAAATGGAATCAAATATGAAACTTATACTTTGAAATTTTTTTGGTACGGATGCCAATAGTTTGTGCTGCAGTAATCAAGGCTAAGGGAAGATATTTTGGCGAAAGCAAAATGTAATCATAATTTTTTTTTTCTTTTAGTCATAAAAATTTTCTAATTAAAAATCATGTTTCATTTTTTTTTACCATGTATAATAGTTTTGTTTATCAAACAACTACTTTTTGGTCGAATTTTAAAAATTACCAGGAATGCCCTCAGACTTTTGAACTGCAGTACATACATACATATATCTATATACGTGTGTGTGAAGAAAAATATACAGAAAAAAAACAAACAAAAATCTTAATATGCAATTATGCTGTATTAATGTTAATATAAAGTCAACGTCGGAGGTTTCGGTCTGTTTTAGACCATCATCAGGACATATTCATATATTTGCTTACATACGTGTGTGTTTGTGTGTTGTGTGTGTGTGTGTGTGTGTGTGTGTGTGTGTGTGTGATGAAGGGGAATAAGTAATTCTAAAAAGAATCTACTTATGGTTTCGCCCCGAAACAGCTAGAGTGTTCCATGCCACACATAGTAGCAGATTTAATTTTTTGTAATTAAATTCTAATAAAGCAGTGACTGACCACGACTGTCAGTTTCATGCGCAGCGCGCCATCTTCAAAAAAGCCACAGAAAAAAAAAATATTTCCGTTAAAAAAAATTCTGATACAAAATTCAGCAGTTATGATTTTCGAGAAAATCTCAACGAGTAAAATTTTGCTTAAAATAAATGGACGTCTATTCAAATACGAGTATCCACTAAAATAACGTTTAAAGTCATATTTATTCTTTTGAGCAATTTTTTTGATTCAACAGGCAAGGACTAATTTTGTTGTGATTTTCCAGTTTACCAATAAGATGCTGTATCGTCAAATCAGAAATATGTTGCTAAAATAAAAGTGTAAAAACAATTCTTGTGGCGATAAACTATTTATTTCACACTCTGTCGCTGCCTCAGAAAAATAATGACCCATTCCATTTCGCTTAGGAGAAGAAAACCGATGAAAAGGATATATTAAAGACGCTGTTTAATTTTAAATAAATGAAGAAAATAATGAAAAATAAATTGATTTATTTGATGTCTTATTCAGCGAAATAGAAAAACGTTGTCAATGTTGAAACTTTTTTTATTTGTATCCTCTATGAACACCATTCAAATGTGTGGCAATATTTTTTAAAGTTTAAAGTTGCCGGGTATTTTATAATTGATTGATTTGTTTCATCATATTTCATTCAAGCTTATCACCGAGTTACAGGTTATTTAAAACCAGAATTTGTTTTAGATTGTAACAATTGTTTTAGATAATAATGGTTTACTAATACAAATTACTAATTAACCCATAGCTGGGGGAAGAGGTGAATTCATAACGGGAATTAGAACTCGGCTCTCTGATTAAAATTTTCAATCCATTGTCTATTACAACACCCACACACCAAATCTTACGACACTTAGTATTCCTAAACGGTCACCGATCTAGTTACTAACCAGGCTCAACGTTGCTTAACTTCGGTGATCACATGGAAATCGATGTTTCAGCGTGATGTAGCCGTGAGCCTATTTTACAGTTGTAGAATTCGTAAGATGTTTATTCTATCACTATGATAAGAATTATGATAGACAAAAAGATATTTAAATAGGAAAACCGTGAAATTTTCACGCTTAGTGTGATTACATATTTAACACTGGACAGATTGAGGGCTCTCCTGCGCAAGATAACGTGAGACTGTGTGTTTCTTGGTAACCTCTGTTAATATGTGATCTCTGTTGATGAAATTATCCATTAACTCTCCATTGAGTAGAAGTTAGCAAAACAAATATGTCAACAACAAAGCTCTCATGCTGTAACGAAATATCTCCTTATATTTTAAGAATGAATAGAACCTCCGTTGATTTGTGTGGTAAACAGTCGTTTTATTATATTCATTTCCACCATCCTTATCTATGTGAGATAAAGCACACATACCAGTTCAGAAATGTATTCATCTGTTCTTATTCAATACTAGACTACCCGTGACTCGTTGGGTTACTAACGGTTCAGGCTATAAAACATTGAAGTTGATTACAACATTGCATTGAAATGAAAGTTCATTTTATTATGATTCAGTTAAATAATTCAATTCGTTCGTGTCATCATTGGTCTGGTTTACAAGTGCATGTTTAACATTTTGCTGATTGTTAACAGCATTTAATAGGAATAGAACTTCCGGGATAGATTTGTAATTTTAATTAAGCCAAAAACATTTTTAAATCGTCAAGATATTCTTTGTTTAAAAAGCTGAAATATAAATAATTACTGTAAAAACAACTGAACGAAAGAGCAAAGCGGGATCTCTTTGTGTTTGTCTTTCATGTAAAAATATTTTAATTAAGATAATTGCCTGTTTGAAGTTAAAACAAAAGTATTTACTGTATAAACAACTCGTATTTTTAAATCTTATTCACTTAAAATATTTTTAAATCACATTAACTTAAAAATACATTTTAAAATATTTAAAATATTGTTTGTTTAAAAAAAGCTGAAATATAAATAATTACTCTACAAACAACTGGACGAAACAGCAAAGCGGGATCTCTTTGTGTCTGTCTTTCACCTTAAAATATTTTAATTAAAAAATTGTCTGAAGAAAGTTAAAACAAAAGTATTTACAGTATAAACAGTATTTTAAAATCTTATTCGCTTGAAATATTTTTTAAATCAGATTAACTAAAGTCATTATGCAGCGGACGGACGCACGCGCGCAATCTCAGACTTTTAGTATTATATAGAAGATAGATCGATATTTGAACAGTTTGATGTTGAAGCACCAATTCTCGTACGCCCAGCAAAGTTATGGAACTTCTTGTCTGTCCGGTACCTAGATTGGTGACCATTTGGGAATATCAGATGCTCGAAGCTCAGATGTGCGGGTGTTGTAAATGATAACGGCTCGGAACTTAAAATGGGAGAGCTGAGTTCCAATTGTAGTCGGGTTTGTTATATTCACTGAGGCGCTAAAGATATGAAGCCAACTTTTCTCTCCGTCAGCTATGGCTTAAAGAATATTCTAGATATCAATAAATAATTATTATATCCAAAAAAATTCTTACCATCTAAAAATATTTTATGACTTTTAATAAGCTGCAAAAGGTTGATAAACCGTAAAAACAAATCATTTAACCAATATCTCCTAAATCCTGTTCTGACATCCATTTACACAAATTCACCAGGTAGATGAGCTTTTTTTCACCGTCCCTCTTGCCTACAATATATCCTGTGAGTGTCAAATTTTCCAAGCTCATTTTCTTTAAAATAACCCACAAATGGTTGATATGCAAATTAGTCAATAAATCTTTCTTAAACTCTTTTCTGGCATCCATTCACATAAGCTCGTCAGGTAGGTTACGCACTTTTTTCTTTGTCTCTCTTGCCTACAATGTCCTGTGCGTGTCAAATTGTCGAACCTCGCTTCCTCTAAAATAATATGCAAAAGGTTGATAAGCCGTAAAAAACAATTTAATCAATCAATCTCCTTTACGCTGTTCTGCTGTTCTGCTAAAATATCTCCTCCGAGTGTCAAATTTTCCGAGCCTTAAATAATCAAATCAATCAACAAATGGATAATTTTAATTAAATAAATCTAATGTAGGATTTTTATTAACAATTACATTAAATCGGAGACGGGTGTATAAGCATCACGTGTTCTACATAGAAAAAACGTTCTATTATCCAATATTTCTGCAATTGAAAATTGAATAGAACGTCTATTGATTTTTTTTTATTGATAGAAACAGTTTCATTAAAATCTTCTTTTTAATCTTATTAAACGTGAGAGTAGGTGTTGTTTAAGCGTATATTTCAAATACCCGACTGGAGCGTTCTACTGCGATCCAGTCTTTCCGTAAAAAATAAATAAAAGCAATATTGATTATATTGACAGCAGTTGTTTCATTGCACTGATATTCTATGCTATAAAAACATCGAGCGTAGAGGTCGGTTAGACAAACACTTTCCCCCAAGAACAGAAACGTTGTGTTGCAATGAAAATATGACATTACAGTTTGAATTGAATAAAAGTTCTATTGACTTCGGAGACATTAGATGTTTGATTAAATAGTCTTCACCAATCCTATAAAAAAACTTAGCGTAGGTGATATTTAAGCAGGCATTTCAAGCATGAACAAAACTGTTCTTTTGTAATCCAATATTTGTATAACACTTTCAAACGCAATTCGTTTAATACGTTATCTATGTAAGAAAAACACTGTTTACGAATTAATGAAACAAATAATTCCAGAATTTTTTTATTAGATTGTAATTTTTTTTTTAAGATAATAACGATTTACTGATACAAGCCTTACTAATCAACCCATAGCTGGAGGAGACAAGGTGGATTCATACCTTTCGCAATGGTATTTGCAGGTAAGTAAATGTAACTGAAATTGGAACTCTGCTCTCTGATTTCCCATTCCGAGCCATTTCCATAACACCACCCGCACTTCCATGCTTACAGCACCTGGTATTCCTAAGCAGTCACCCATCTAGGCACTGGCCAGGCTCAATGTTGCTTAAATTCGGTGAACTTACGGGTTTCAACATGATATGGCGATATGTTCTATTGATTGATTTGTTTTTGTTTTTTTTATGATTTATCAGCGTTTTGCAGCTAAATCCATTATGACTGAGTTGTGTTCGACCTTCACAAGATGCTCAATACATTTGGCCTTGTGCCACATCTCAGCTAAGCTTAGAAAATCAAGAAAGAGCACTTCGACGTGGTGTAATGACTAGCAGGCTGGTTTAGCTAAATCAATTAAGGCAATAGTGAATTCGATCCTCGCCTAGTGCTCCACACTTGTTTTTGTGCCACATCTAAGCTTAGGCTTAGAAATTCAAGAATGGGCACATGGAATTGATATAATGATTAGAAAGCTTTTCTCGCTAAATCAGTTACGACGGAGTAGTGAGTTCGATACTCACTGGGTGCTCCATGCTTGCATCGTTGTCTCACATCTGCAAGAAATGGCATTTTGACGCGGTAGAACAATTACGATAAGCAGTGGGTTTGTCCCTCAATGGGTGCTCCATACTTCTGACCTTGTGCCACATCTAAGCTACAATTAGAAACTCAAAAAGAGAACTTTGACGTAGCGTAATGTTTAGCAAACTCATCTCGCTAAAGAGTAGTAAGTTCGATCATCATAGGGAGCTCCATAGTTTCGGCCTTGTGCCACATCAAAGATAAGATTAGAGGATAATTTAGACACTTCTATTTTGCGTAATGATTAGCAAGCTTGTCTTGCTAGATCAATTATAATGGATTAGTGAGATCGATCCTCACTGGGTGACCCATATTTTTGGCCTTGTGCCACATGCTTGGAAAATATAGTGATACTTGTCTGGCTTCGGTTGGGTCAGTTTCAAAATAATATTAAACTCAACCCCCGGGAGGGGGCATCCCTTTCAGGCTGTGCCTCTCTTTCGAGAGTGGGGTGTGCTTATTACCCTACACTTGTGGCTTCTCAAAAAGGAGAAGTGCCGAGGGGAATTGAGCAATTTGTCCACGTTATTACCGTAAAGCCGACCTTAAACTTCGACCAAGTGTCGCATTCGGTAGCGATATAGGCACACTGAAAAGAACCCCCATAAAATATGACACCATTTGTCGTAAGAATCACTGAAAATCCTTTGAGTTATTCAGCTAGAAGGAAAACAGATTAAAATCATTTTCTGACAGCCCCACTTTGTTTTCTCATCTGAGCAATGGTGAGAGGAAAAATCATTCAGGCCTTCAGTAATGGTACCAACATTCATACTCTGGCTTTCATCAAAATCCATTAAAAAAACCATCAAGAGAACGGAGAATAAGTTTAAAAACAACGAACATTAAGAGGAAAACTGGTCACATCAAAATGGATCATCATTTCAACATAGAGCTAAATACACTCTTATTGTTCAAAGTAGTGTCCAATCACGTTATAAAAACCTCGGAGAATTCCAGTAAGATATCTTTAATCATTTCTAAGTTCAAAGCTTAATCTAGCAATTGGACAAGTTTGCTGTGACACGAGTTGGACACTTTTGCTGTTACACTCGTTATTATATTCAACAAATGTAGAATCGAACGAGGTTCTGTATATTATAATATATTTAGTGGTAACCACGCTCGAGTCACATAATATGTCGCAGTATTATTTTTTGACCTTCCAGATGGCTCGTTTTCTTCACCAATTTCTCTCATTATTGATCTACATCTCGCGAAATCACGAATCACCTCTTCATTCTCGCGTTATCATTCCAGTCTATATAGGCAACCACCATTATCCTATTTTTTTACAATCTGTCAAGCTCAAAAGATACCAAAGAAGGCAATTTTTTTTACTTAATCTAAGCGAAGTTAAAATATGAGCATAAGTTATGTTTAAGCACACATTTTAATCATGAACAGAACTGTTCTTTTGCGTTCCAATATTTGTATATAATTTGAAAACACAAAAGCAGCCGTTCTAATATAATATTAGTCTGTGCTATAAAAAAAATATGTACGAGTTAATGAAACAAACACTTCCAGAATTGTTTTATTGGTTCGATTTTTTACGGTGTATCAGCTTTTTACGGGTTATTTAAGGCCGGAAAATATTTTTAGATTTTAAGACTTTTTTGGGAGATTAATAATTTTCTGATACAAGTCCTGCTAATTAACTCATAGCAGGGCCGGTACAGAAATGGATTCATCGCTTTCCCAAATGTATTTCCGCGTAAGTGAATATAACAAACCCGACTGAAAATGGAACTCGGCTCTCCGATTTCCAATGCCATTACACCACCCCCACATCCGAGCTTACAAAACCTGGTATTTCCACGCGGTCACCCATCTAGGTACTGACCAATCTCGACGTTGCTTAACTTCGGTAATCGTATCAACGGAAAAATGGTCGAAGGCTCTTTCGATTCAGGTTGAAGAATTGTGGAATGCAATGAAACTTAACATATTTGATATCAGACTCAAACGCCATTAGTTTTATGGCCTATCTTAAAATTCTTGATTATATGACATTCGGTCTTTTCACCCTCGCATTAAAAATACATTCTGAAGGCCGGTGATCACGTGTCAGTAGAGATTTTGTACCTAGCAGGAAGTGATGAGAACGATTAGTGATCCAAACATTCGACAACTGCTTTATATATATATATATACTGCTTTATATATATATAAATTCTACGGATGTTAATCTTCTGATTAGACAAACCACTGGGTGATCTTGCTGGGATAATATTACAGATATAGAATGTGTGCTTGTCCTATTAAGATTGTGCTTGTCACTCCCTTCGTTAATTTGCACGATCGTTATGTCCTGCCAATAACTCATAAATAATGAACTAATCTGTTTTGATCACGTGAAAAAGGGGAAAAGCTACTTGGTTTCAGTGAGAAAGATGAAAGAAACAGGGGAATATGGAAGTGTTTAACATCTGCCAATATCTCATGAATGATGGACTATTCCGATTTTATCGCGCGGAATAAGAGAAAAAGACACTACTTGGTTTCAGTGAGAAAATGAAAGATAGAATTTTTTTTCAGAGCATCCAGGCCGCTACTGAATGTAAAGCAAGGTCGAAGTTTTAACTGTAATAATTGTCTAAGCCTCCTCAGCACTTCCACTTTTGGGGACACCTTAGGCGACAGGCAATAAACCCAGCCGCTTCCCGAAGGAGGAGTACAGCCTGGGTGGAAAGCCTTCTGAGGCTTGGGTTTAATATTTTTGATACTTTCCTGGCATATGCTACGTATCAAAAAAAAAGAAAGAAAGAGAGGGAAGAATGAAATATTTAACATCTCCGGCCAATACATCATAGATAATAGACTGGGTGATCATCTTGATATAAGATTCCATATGTAGAATGTTTGCTTGTATCTGTAATTAGTGTAATATATTTTGGGAATCAAAGATTTCAGTGCGGCTTTATTTATTTTTTTTGTTTTTCTTTTTTTTATTAAAAGTTCTATTTGAATTCTTTAAAATTCCCAAGCGGTAATCCATCTAGGTATTAAATAAACTCGACGTTGCTTAACTTCAATGATCGTATGATGTCCCAGTGTTATATGGCCGTAAGCAAATTGTTCTTTTACAATCAAATATATCTTTATATTTCGATATGAATGGAGGCTTCATCGACATCTCGCAGCACTAAATTTTCATTAAAATCTTCCTCAATTCTATTAAACCTGACAGTAAATGTTGTCTAAGTATGAAATCGTTGAATAAGAGTTTGTCAAGTAAACACATTCTCCACGAACAGAATTATTATATTGCGATCCAAGATAACTGCCCGGTTTCTGTGGAGCAAAATTTCTTATTATTCTTTATCTTCTTCTTCTTTTTCTTCTTTATTCTTTTCTTTTCTTTCTTTTTTTCTCTTTTCTTCTTCTTTCTTCTTTTCTTTCTTTTTACTTTTTCTTCTTTTTTTCTTCTTTCTTGTTTTGTCTTTCTTTACCTTTTCTTATTTTTGTTGTCCTTCTTTCTTTTTTTCATTTCTTCCCTTTTTTTTTCTTATTTTTGTTTCTTCTCCTTCTTTTTTTTCATTTTTTCATTTTTTTCTCCTTTTTTTCTTTTATTGTTTTCTTTTTTTCTTTTCTTTTCTTCTCTTTCTTCTTTTTCTTCTTTTTTTTTTCTTCTTTTTCTCATTCTTTTTCTTTTTATTGTTGTCCTTTTTTTCTTTTTCTTTTTCTTCTCTTTTTCTTCTTCTTTTCCTTCCTCTTATTTTGCTTATTCTTTTTCTTCTTCTTGTTCTTCTTTTTCTTCTCCTTCTTTTTCTTCTTTATCATTTTCTTTTTTTCTTATCAGTCCTAAACTCTTCTATGTCGCATGTCCCTTCAGAACGTTAACGACCATGAATCTCCACAACAATTTCTTTTTTTCTATCACTCCTAAACCCCGACCTACAACGATATCACTCTGAAACACCGATCATCAGATTTAGACAACGTCACCAAATCACCGATCAACACAGTTAAGTAACGTCAACGCTGGTCAATACTTCGGAATACCATATCACGTAAGCTTGGATGTGCTGGCGGTGTAAGGGATAACGGTTTGGAATGAGAAATCGGAGAGCCAAGTTCCAATTCCAAGTCTGGTTCGTTATATATTCACTTAGGGACAAATACCCTTGGTGAATTCATGAATTCACATATTCCCCCATCTATGGGTTAATCAGCAGAACTTGTATCAAAAAATAATTATTATCCCCCCCCCAAATTTACAATCCAAAGATATTTGCTGGCTTTAAATAAGCTGCAAAAGGTTGATAAGCCGTAAAAAAAAACGAATAAATCTCTCTTAAACCTGGTTCTGCCATCCATTTGCACAAGCTCTCTAGGTAAGTTAAGCTTTGTTTTCTTCTGTCCCTCTTACGTTTAGCCTGTCCCGTAAGTATCAACTTTTCCAAGCCCGTTTTCCTTTTTTTTTTCCAACTGTCTCTTAAAGATGTTAAGTTTAAGTCTCCTTTCGATGTTCTTTAAAACTTCCTCATTGATCACATGTTCTGTTCATGATATTCTTAGTATCCTTCTGTAGAACTACATTTCTTTAGATTCGACTCGTTTCTTCATCTCCAGGAAGTTTGTCTGGAATTCACTGACATATAGGAGGACTGAAATTACGCAACAGGTACTACAAGGTAACCAAAAAAAGCCCTTGCCTGTTTTTTTATTTATTAGAAAAAGGTATACAGAAAATTTTAAATACCATTAGTCTTCAAAGTAATTGCCAACGGAATCCAGAACCTTTTATCAACTTGCCTTCAGCTGCGCAATCAGGTGTCTTGGATGCAAAGAAGTTTACTTGTCGCAAATTTGCCTCATTTGCGAACGATTTCCCACGAAGGTGGTTGTCTAACGAATGGAATAGGTGCTAATCTGTCTGCGCAAGGTCCGAGGAGTAAGGCGGATGTCACAGTGTCTCTCAGCCAAGTCGCCGTATGGTATCCCTGGCCACCCGCGCCACATGAAGCCTAGGATTGTCATGGAGGAACAGTATACCCTTACAATTAACCTTCTACTGCAGTGCATGTTGCACACGTTCCAACTGCTACGAGTACATGTTCGCAGTAATGGTTTGGCCCGATGGTAGTAGTGCATCACTTGTCGATTAGTTCACCAGATGCAGAGCATGATCTTGTATGGGTGTAGAAGTGGTCTTGTGGCGTGAGGAAGAGGGTCCGGTCGAAAAACCAATGTATAGAAATCTTGGGGCCCCTTTTACGCCCTTGGTGAGCACTTGGTCAAATATGGGTCTGTTGCGGTGCCATGAAAGCAACAAGAAATAGGCTGTCACTCGTTGCTGTTAGTTGGATTCCAACAGTGTGTGAAGTAGCCGCTTACTCAACTTGATGGCCTTCTCTATGTGGTGCAGATGAAGTCTGATTGTTTCAGCAGAAAACTGGAAGCATTCATCAAACTCATCACAGGTTTAGCTGTTGGCCTCCTCAATGGTCACTTTCAGTGCTTCATCATGTGGAATTCATCACAAATGGACAGATCTCCTGCCGATGCGATCACTAACAGCATTTTCCTCAAAGACTTGACGTTTCCGAAGTCATAAATCAGACAAAACCGAACGAGAAGCGCCAACCCCGCCATTTTCCTCGCCGCTGCTCGAGCTATGACTGACCTGTGTGCGCAATGCACCTGCGTTAGTCAAAAGCAATGCCGCCACCCTCATCCACATTGCTTTTCCGGCACGTGACGCACTCATTTGCATATCAGGGATCACTTGTTCTCACAGGACGTAAAAACGGCAAGGACTTTTTTGGTTACCTGATGATTTTTATTAAAAGAAATCGTTTTATTGTATTTTTTTATGCAATCGTATAAAACTTTTGATGTCACTTCGATGTAGTGTAATAGCTATAAACCTTGTCTTGGTCGATCAATTAAAATGAGATCGATCCTTTGTCTTGGCCTTGTACGATCATCGTGGTGTAATGTTTAGAAAGGTTGTCTTGGTCGATCAATTAGGACTGGGTAATGAGATCGATCCTCATTGGGTGTACCATACTTCCGGCCTTGTACCACACCTGAGCTACTTTTAAATAATGGTTTTGGGAGCACTTCATCGTGGTGTAATGTTTAGAAAGGTTGATCCTTGGGTGACCAATTACCACACCTGAGCTAAAATAATGGTTTTGGGAGATCATCGATCCGATCAATTAGGACTGGGTAATGAGATCGATCCTCATTGGGTGTACCATACTTCCGGCCTTGTACCACACCTGAGCTACTTTTAAATAATGGTTTTGGGAGCACTTCATCGTGGTGTAATGTTTAGAAAGGTTGTCTTGGTCGATCAATTAGGACTGGGTAATGAGATCGATCCTCTTTATCAAACTTTCGGCTTTGTGCCACATTTCAGTTACGCTTAGAAAATCATTTTGGGGGCACTTCAACGTCGTGTAATGGTTAGCAACATTGTCTTCCTGGATGAATTACGAGTGAGTAGTGAGTTCGATCCTCACTGGGTGTTCCATATAATTGGCCTTGTGCCACATCTAAAGTACGCTCAGAAAATTATTATTAAACCTGTGAATCAGGTTTTGAAAAGCACATATTTCAAGAGCGGATTGAATGATGTATTGTCTACAATCCATTATCATTGTGCATCTTGAATTCACTGAAACGAATATTATTGATTACATTAACAGCATTTGTTTCATTACAATTGTATTCAATCCTTTTAAACCCGTGTGTAGTTGTTGGTAAAGCGTACACACGTGAAGTACATCAGTACTTCATTAAAATCTAATTCTGTCATTTTCAAGCCGTGCATAGGAATTTTTGAGACCCACTCGTTAAGAGCAAACAGATTTGTTCTTTTGTATTTCATTATCCCTATTCCCTTAACAACGGCGCTAATGATATTATTGATTTTTTTTTTCATTTAATTACAGTTTTATTTAATCTCTTTAAAACCAGTTAAGTCAATGTCGGTAAAGTTCACATGTTCAGAATGGAACTCATTTCTCTGTTCCGGTCTAATATCGCTTAGAGTTTGAATTCAACAGATATCTTGACTGGCTTTAATTGGAAATTTAGATTCATTAAAAAAAATTAATTCCATCTTTCTAAAGCCGTGATAAATAATACAGGCCAGTACGATTTTCCGTGCCAAAAACAAAATATATTTTTTAGCTAATTTGATGTTGATTCCGAAAATGACGTTAGTTTTTCATGATTAGCTGCCGTTTTTGCTGTACTGAAATTGCTCATTCTTGGAAAAAAGATCAATTGACGATCTTGTCTATCGCAAAATGTAGCTAATAAAGGTAGAAACCCATCAATTTTCAGGTAGGCCGAGCAATTTATGTCAGCCACCTGAAATAAACTATTTTTATAAGAAAAAAGTGTTTTGGAGTCAAAGATTTTAAAATAGATGTACCGAAGTTTATCGACAAAATTCAAATTAACTGATAAACTTTATCAGTAATACACTTTAGTAAACCTGATAATTAAGGTGACACTAAAAAATGAAATCCTAAAATATTCTGCTTGATATTTATAAACATATCCCATCACTTTTATCCCTTCACTATGGAAGGAAACCAAGGACATTGCGAGCATTTTGTTTTCACAGTTGGAAAGAAACTCCATTTAAAGACATCCCAATTGAATGTACCAATTCCATTGTACATGATACTGATGGAGTATCAAAATGGACTTAAATATCATTGAATATGACAGACAATAAAGAAAGAGAAAATATTTGACCATAGTTCTTATGTTCATGAAGGTTTTATTTCTGCTGTTAGTTTATTAAATGATTTCATGAAAATACTTGTTGGTCTTGGTATATTCAATCGTATTATTTTTAAAGACTTAGGGTCTGATTATTATTGCAAAAATAGTATTTCTCAATAAGCAAACCAATATTTGTTGGTTTAAATACAAACTGAGAGGTTTCTACGATTTTATTTTGAGAAATATTGCCATCGGTCAAAATCATATATACAGAAAACAAATGAAAAAAAAAATGGTAGCTATCCAAGAAAAAGTAAAGTCATTTTCAGATTCATCGCCATCAAATTAGCTCAAAAAGTTTTTATCTCGACACCATTTCATCTTTTTTTTTTGTTGTTGACCAGTGTAATTGGTAAATATGTTACGTGAAACCCAAATTGAATTTTGTTTTTTCTAAATTCAGTTCACCTATAATAATTGATTTGAAATTAATCTCTACGGATCTTCTTGGCTGAAGTCGATTCATTTCAACTCATTGGTCCTTTTAAGCCATTGATTCACACGACAGGCATGAACTGAAACAACCCTATTGCAATGAAACACCCATGTATTATTTTAACAAAATAAAATATCCATTGACCTCTCTGAACCTAGTTGTTTAATTAACATTTTTTCAAGCCCATGAATCCTAAGAATAGTTGTTATCAAAGCACGCCATTTAAGGACGTCAATCACGGACGGAATTGTTCTTTTGTCACTAATGACTTTTGTGCATTTGAACACATTGACTCGTCCTGGGCATGACGATAAATGACATCCGGCAGCAAGGCCTCTGGTCGGGATGTTTGGTGGAGCGTGGAACCACCTCTTAATTGCTGTTGTTCCCAGATCCAACATGACCCGGGGTGGTAGCACCTGTTAGGGTCCCAGATGTGGGTAAATAGTTAACCACAAAACTAGGGACAAAACACTATGAAACTCTAACAAAAAAAAAGTAAAAATATAATTAATACATTTTATTAGAAAATATCAGCAATAAATTTTTTGTAAAAAAAAATACGTTTATAAATTTATCAAAGAAATTACTAATGCCCCCAAGAAAATTAAATTTCGGCATTAAATGACCCATAAGGAGTTGATATGCCTTTAAACAAACAAGTCAAAGCTTCTAAAAATATGCAAAAGATTTTGGTATTAAATGACCCATAAGGTGTTAATGTGTAGT